CGATGTGAAAAATTCTTTATTTCCACCAAAACAGATTCTACATCATAATCCCAACAGAAATTTATAAAATTGTGAATGGCTTGGATAGAGTGGAAAATATGAGACTTTTCCCAGGGCAGAGGGGTCAGTTACTAGGGAACACAGGTTCACGATGCAAGGGGGGAAGTTTAAAAGTGATGTGCGAAACAGGTTCCTCACCCAAAGTGTGGTGAGTGTCTGGAACGCATTGCCAGGGGAGGTGTTGGATGCAGAAGCAATAGCAGTATTCAAGAAACAAATGGACGAATACATGAATAGGAAGGGAACAGAGGGATATGGATCCTGTAAGTGAAGACAGTTTTAGCATGGAAGGGCAAAACGTGTCAGCGCCGGCTTGGAGGGCTGAAGGGGCTGTTCCTGTGCCGTATTGTTCTGTGTTCTACTGCACATATACCATTTCTCATTATCACACTGATTATTCATTTAGTAACAATGTCACCCCACCTCCTTTCCTTTTAGTCTGGAACATTGAATACTCTTCAATATTGAGTTCCAGACTTCAGTCACGCTGTAGCCATATTTCTGTAATAGCTATCAAGTCATGTACATTTATTTATTTTATACATCAACTTATCCACCTTGTTACCTATGCTGAGGGCATTCAGAATAAAAAAGCCTTGAGCTTTGACTTTTTAACCAACATTACTCTCCCTGGCTGTAATTTCTGTTGCATGTATTGTCATAGAATCCCTGCAGTGCAGAAAGAGGTTATTCAACCCAATGAGTCTGCACTGACCCTCCAAAAAGTATCCCACCTAGACCCAGCCCCCTACCCTACATAACCCTGCATTTACCACAGCTAATCCACCTAAACTAGGCATCCTTGGACACTACAGACAATTTTAGCATGGGCAGTACACCTAACCTGCACACGTTTGGCCTGTGGGAGGAAACTAGAGCACGTGGTAGAAACCCACACAGACATGGGGAGAATTGACAAACTCCACACAGTCACTAAAGGCTGGAAACAAGTTTGGGTCCCTGGAGCTGTGAGGCAGCAGTAGTAACCGCTGAGCCACCTACCTCTTCTTTACCATACTTTGATTATTGTTCACCTTTTCATTACCCCACAACTCTGCTCTCTCATTTCTTTTTGATTTTTTAAAACATTCAATTGAACCCAATGCCCCATAGTTAGTTTAAACCCCATCTATAATCCTAGTTATATGATTGGTGCCTTGCACCTTGAATGCTCCCCCAAGTTACTCCAAAGACATTGATTCTTTTGCTATGAAATTTAATCAATAGCTCTGCAGGATAGATCAAATGCAATTACTTATATTTTCTTCATTCTCTCACGAGATGTGGGCATCGCTTGCTGGCCATCCCTAATAGACATTGAACTGTGTAGCTTGCAACATCCGTTTCAAATGACAGTTAAGAATCAACCAAATTTATTTCCATTTGGAATCACACATAGGCCAGACCTGGATTAGGATTGCAAGTTTCCTTCTCTAGAGGAAGCACATTATTGAAACAGATGGATTTTTATAACAATTGTAGAAAAATCCATGGTTTTACTTGGAGATTTTAACTGCCATGATGGGATTTGAACTCATACCTATTCTCCTGGGACATTAACACTATACCAGTGTCTTCCATATTCACATGCCATATTAGGAGGCTGATGAAATGTCACAATCTGAAACATTAGCACTTGCTGTCTCCAGAGGAACTGACTGATCTGTTCAGTGCTCTTAGTAATTTCCGATTTCATTTCAGTTTGCTAGCATTCACACTGTTTTTGCTATTATATAATTTTTGTGCTGTTGTTTTCCGTTTTCAGGAAATCTGGGGTGTCGCCAAGTGAAAAGGATATAAGATGAATAGCTGATGATCTAAGCAAAATCTTTTCAGGTTTATCGTAAAATTGTGAAGTTATGAACTGTTAATTATAGTTTATTTGGGGTACATTGTATTAGTAGCTCATCTTTTAAATGGATAAAAACCAGGAATGAAAAATAGGCAAGGCTCCATTAGGGAGCAATGATAGAATTAAAACAAAGCACATTGGGTAAATTCTGACTGTATTTACATTGCTGATATCTCACTGAAGCACAAAACATTTTATTTCATATTATACATGTTTATTGTAAATATTGCTGGCGTCTGTTTTCAGGGGTGCCTTTTAAAGGTTTGGGTCACAATTCTGAGCCTAGCACCCCCATCCTGCCCAACTCAATTGCTGAACAAGGCAGAGTTTACTTCTCTGCAATCTTGATGGAGTCAGGTCAACTTTTAAAAGAGACATGGTTCCTGGCCCCTCAGAGTTATTGTGAACCATAGTCAACATGATGTAATCTGTTCAAAGGCAAGTTCAAAAGATCCTCATCATGGCCCCTTTTCCAAGGTAGACACTCTCAAACAACACTTGTGATCTTCTCTCTAGCAAAGCATACATCTTCACCACTTTATTGAAACAATTAACGCTACAGTGGCAGTTAGATGTGTAAAAAGAAGCTTTAAAAATAGTGATTCCTGAATTACTTTTTGTTAAAAATCATCTTTCTACTACAGGGCAACAAAGTGTCAATCATTCAGAACCTTTAAACTTTCAACTGGAAGGTATTTGAAACCACTTAATCTCCTAAAATCAAGCAGGGCCTCAGATGTTTCAGGTCCTTCATTGATGTCTCGGCACTCAGCTAAGCTTCATTATATAGCCGTTACAGAGGCCGATAGGCAAATGGGCATAGAAAAGCCATATATGAATATGAGAAGCATAATGGGGCATGTACATTGGGTGGACGGAATTCCTTGGTACCGTGGGAATTACAAAGATAAACTTCTGGAGAAACTCAACATGCCTGGCTGTATCTGTGGAAGGGGAAAAAAAAGTTAAGATTTCAAGTCCAGAGACATTCCAAGGAAGAGTCTTTGCACTCCAAACATTTAATGCCGTTTTTCACTCTCAGATGCTGCCAGACCTGATGATATTCTCCAGCACTTTCCTATTTTGTTACAAATCTCTAGCCATCTGAACTTTTATATGGACCGTGGCAGTTCAGGAAGAGGGGAATACTTTGGTATGCCAGGCATAAAATATCATGTGACTTGGTGAGGACCAAATCTTAGGGGACATAGGAGATCAAGTGCATGAGAAGAAGGGAATGTCTTGGCATGAGGGTATGAGGGGACATATTTGGGGGAATGAGGAAATATAGCTATGATATGGGCGTGAAAGAGTATTGGGGGATGAAGGTATGTGAAGAGTGCAACACTTATTTGTTTTTCATTGCAGGAGGGCTTAAGCCCCTTCGGATCAAGGCAGATTTTTAAAATAAAGTCTACCTTGCAGTTGGCAGCCCCAATAGTTGTTACTGAGCTTTCCAGCATGCTTAACGGAAGCCCAAACTCACCCAAACAGCCCAATCCCACCTCAACAGAAATGATGATTGTGGTTTCGGAGCTGGTAATCCCTGCATGGGTGTGCAAAGCCAGGCATTTTTTTGAATCTCAGTACCTGCATTGAGGATGAAAACTTAGCCCTCAGATTACTTTGTCTGATGAATGACAGTGGACATTCATTTCTTTGGAATAATCCTCTAGCCAATCAGCTGAGCATCAGAAAATTAATTGACTATTCAAAACTGGATAGGAAATTCTGCAAGAAGTGGGATTTCTGATACATCAAGGTCTACCACAAAAAAAAAGACAACTCAATGGCATTCTAGATATCCCAATCAGTCAAAACCTTATGTCAGCCCCTGATTAGATAAAGAATTATCTTTAGACATCTTCCGTGCTGGGGCTTCCCAGACTGGGCCCTCCTGTTACATGCTAGCCAGGAATCCATAAACCCAACAGTGAAGAAGATCTCTGAAGAAACCATATCCCCTTTGCAGTAGTCAGTGTGTTCTATTCTGAGATTTAAATGTCCAGCAGCCACTTTAAATGTCAGCCACTTTGACAACTCCTGTGAGAGGGCAACTGTTTAACTTAAGAATGAGGAAATAGTTGAGGTGTCAAGGTTGAGTTAAGTCAGTGTGGGGTGGGGTTGAATTCAGGTTGGGCAATGTTGATCCAATGTGTGGATGGGAGGTGTTAAGAGTGAGGAAAGCTCATCTGATTGTGAGGTGCTTGTCTAGTGCCCAACAGGCATGGGGAGCAGGGAAGGTGTACTGAAGATTGCTCAGTGGTGCATTTGGGGAGCAAGGGTCAGTTTAATAGCAAGCCAGAAGTGTCAGTAGGTTCTTAATATTGTCATATGCCCAGAATGATTATTAAAGTGAGTCAGAACCCTTCAAGTTCAGGAGGTATAGATACAAGGGAATTGCCTCTTGGAAAATTCAATTTCATGGGCAATTCCTAGAGATACTGCTGTGTCTGACAATCCACAAGGTCTCAATGCACAACCCTAGTCTGTGCTGCTCCAACAACTCTCTGTCCATTGAAATAACCTGTTAAGAATTAGAGGGCCCATAGTTATTATCACTAGAACAACATCCATACCCCCCAAAAAAATCCAAAGTCACTAACTCTATCCCGCTCTCTGGGGATTATTGTCCCAGAAACACACCAGTTCTTACACTTGTATATATTTGTGAACAAGCACCAAGAGGACTACAGGCATGAGTGGCCTGGCATTCTATGACAATTAGCTATGGTGATAACAATGCAGTATCGCCATCTTCCACAGTACTACGGCAAAATAACATTTCAGCTTGTACAGGAAACTGTGTGTTATCTGTACAGATGTCAATGAAAATTCATTGTGCTAGAACCAAAATTTCCAAACTTAAACCTTGCAAATCATCTGAAAGAGCAAAGTACTTCCACGAAACAATCTTGAAATATTTACACACATTGATTAAAAATATCAATCCATGCACAACAATGATGTAAGCCATGTAAGGTTCTCTCACTTTATGGAATCTTTATTCCATCCATACACATGCATAGTAACAACATTGTTGAGAAATAATTTCTATCAGAAGTAGAACAATATTTGTTTTATCACCAGTTGCAGTATTGGTACTCCATTATTCAGATATTATTGTCCCCTAGATGACTTTTGCAACAGCAAACTGCAACTACTAATTATATTTTCAATAACGTACAGCATGAAGGTTTCAACTACTGTTCAATACTGCTTCCAGTAATGTTGTTCATATTAAATTTTGCATTTTACAGCAAATGTTTCAAAAGTGAGACAAAAGCATCAGCAAAGGAAAGTACAGTACAGATTACTATACAAGAAAGTTAACAACTTCAATAAAACATACATACCTCAGTTTAAGAAAATGGATAGGAACAAACTGCTACATATATTTCATCTTATGCAAAGCCTACTAATTACTGTATATGCTGATATATAAGCTGCAATTTAGGTCTGAAAATGTATTAAATATGAAATGGAATTTTATATGCCACTTTAGTAGTTTTTAAGGCCTACTTCGGCATTTGCAGTCTTAAGTTAATGCAACTTATATTTTGGCATTTACAGCAAAGTTGCAACAAATACAGGGATATTTGAATACACAAGTGCTTTACCTCACCAGTTTACCTACAAATGCTGTCTCTATGTATGTGACTCAGACCTCTTTCTACAGTGCAAACCGTAATTGTTTCACGAGAATAACTATACAATAACATTAAAAACAATTTCAGTATAAACTTTTTTAAATAAAAATTGAAATTTAACCACAGCTATGAATACTGCTTGGAAAATAAATTAATTCTGGTGAAAAATAGCACGGACATTTCACATCAATATCAAGACTTATGAACAGCATTATGAAATGACAGACTAGCCTCAAGCCATTGAACTACACAGCTATCCCTTGATTGTCCTGGTGTAACTGTCCTGATGTAACTCAAGCAGCATTTTTTATTTTTTTATACAAACTGTGCATGGCTAACACTATACTACAGACAGACGCAGTGCATGACATTTCATTTTCATTTGACATGTTCCGCAGCATGTGACGAGCAGTAGAACTTCTTGTGAGTTATAAAGTTAGACAAGTTATTAAATTGAATGTCACAGAGACGACAGTATTTTCCACTGTTTGTGGGCTGGACAGAACCACCAATGCTTTTTGGTGTGTGAACTAATTGCTCTTCCAATGACGCTTTAGCTGAGGGCAAGGCATTTTCAGTCGCAGGAGTGGGACTCTCAGCAACCCAAGGAGGAGATTCTTGGCTGGCTGGTTGTTGGAAACTCTGGGATAAGCTATCTTGATGTGGGTTGCCTGAGAAAGGCCTGTTTTCCTGTTTGATTCCTCCATTGACTGCTATCATACCCCTGCTCTTTGGCACTGATGGAACAGGTTCCTTCTTCTGAAGAGAACATCCATTGGAAACAGAATGATCTGGAGAAGGATCAATCTTATCACGTGTGACTTGCACCAGCTCATCCATTTCACTGCGTATGAAAACAGCTCCTGAGATATAGTCAGTAGGCTTAACTCCATAATATGGAGATAACTGCTCAGTCCCAGTCAATTTTTTTATTGCTCCAGGATAAAGGCAATTTGGATAGAGCAAGTTCTTGTTTTCTTCCTTAGCAGAAATGATTTGAGCTGCCTCATTGAAAGTTTTCAGCCCTTGGAGGGTTGTTAATTGTGTGGGGAATATACTTCCATTTGGAGAGATGAGCTTTGAACTTTCATTTTTCTCACATGCGATTATATTTCGTTCATTGCTGCCTGCAGGGCTGATTGTTTCACTTTTCACCGAAGCACCTTCTTTTTGCAGCTCTTGAAATTTTGTTTGTTCTAAGTGGGTTACTTCACCACGTTGGTGACCCATTCCTGGACAAAAGTTTTGCTTGTGAGCAAGGTAACTTTCTACTTTGTTAAAACTAATCTTGCACACAGTACATTCATGATAGTCTAAAAGTCTTTTAGGAGAACAGGCTGTTTTTTCAGTTTGAGGCGAACACTTTTTGCTTAAATCCATGGGAAGATCCAGTTCCATTCCGACAACGACAGGCAACGGGGCACTGCACTTGACAGATGTCACATTTCGAATCCCAGGGATGGAGGGCTCCACATGCTTTCCAAGTAACATGTCGGGTCTCTGGTGGGAGGGTTCACCTAGATTGTCTAGGGATTCTTGAGAAGACGTTCCAGGACTCCCCATGGCTGATACACTAAGAAAAGCTTGATGGACCATCTGCGATCTCTGTTCCTGTTCTGGGAGGGAAATCTCATACATTTTCCGCCGCTTGCGGCTACGTATAGTTCTTTGCATCGCTGGTACCTTATTTGCCGCCATACGTTTCACTGGTGGATCATGACGTGAAGCGCAGTAGTATTGTTTGTGCACAGCGTATGTTTCATGTCTGCTAAAGGTTATATTGCAAGCTTCACATGTAGTTTTATTCGGATCATTAGCGATGTCCAATATGGGAGTGCCGGGGCAGTTCCCATCCTTGGACTTGCCATTCAATTGTTCATCATTGCTACTAGCAGCTGACTCTTTTTTTAACTGCGTAGAAATATCTTTTTCCGGACTTTTCCCATTTGAGCCAGCAACGTCTACGACTACAGAAGAGTTAATATTAGTTGGCTGAACAAGTGGATTTTCTGGATCAGGTAAATTACAAAGGGCACTGTGAATGTTAATAGGACTATGCCCACTACTGGGACTAACTGTCTCTGGTACCTTCTCACCGGTGTTGGCGAAGTCTGGCGACTTAGCTACATGCTGCCAGCGGGTGCTGCAATAATGTTTTTTGTGAACCAAGTAGTTATCCAAGTTGTTGAACGTGATATTGCATTCAAAACAAATAGCCCCTTTTGGTACCAATGGACTGTAAATGACAGGGGGATAGTTGCTGCCACCCTGTCTTAACCTACGATGTACCAATTCAGACATTTTAGCCAGGATTTCTGAAGCTTGGGGGACCATAGAGATATCTTGGGAGAGAGAGAACTGAGAAAGGAAGGGAGCCATTGGGACATTGGATCCTATGTTATGTTGAATTGGAGAAGAAGCAAGCCGTGGGCTGGACGGCTCTGATTTGATTCTGGTATATGGGAAACCCTGCCTGTTTCCTGCAGGCTGTGTTTCATTCTTCAGACTTGTTACACCCAACTGTACATTTTTCTCTACTTTTTCTCCCTCTGTGTCAGAGCAGATTTCTTTATTTTGGCTGATGCCTGGAGATGGAGGGACATCCTGTCTGCTTGCTGTATCTGCTGTTATCGACTGCAAAGTGTCCTCACTGTTGACTGGTGAGTGTTCATTTTCACTTTCCCTTCGCAACCTCCTGCTCTGACTGTGATGGAGCTCCTGGTGCTGCATCAGCTTCCTATGGTTCTGGAATCCAAAGTGGCAATGACTGCATTTGAAGGCAGCTGGTGTGAGGTGGGTGAGTATATGGTGTTGGAAGCTCAACACATTGTCTGCTATGTAGTCACAGATGGTACATTTCAGGCTGGCACCAGCAGAAAGGGGCTCTTCAATTTTCAAACCTGTTCAGAAAGAAAACATTTTTCACTATTGGAACTCCAGACTGATAGTAGATTTGCAATGGAAAGTCGATCAAGTAATATGTTTGCCCTGTACTTTGGCTCACATTTATTAACCTTGGTATTCATCTCTGTGAACTTGTCAATTTTTAAAAATAAATCGATATATCAAGTTTACATAATACTTTGAAAACCAGAAAAGCTAGCCATAATTCAGTTTTTTACCATCCCTTGCTTTTTACAAAACTATGAATGGGGGAGGTTTGGATAAACTTAGCATTGCTAACATCGAAGAATGGGAATTTAAATAAATCAGAAATGATAGTCAACAATTTTGCTGAATTGATATTTGCCTTATTAAGATGATAGTCTGTTGTTATAACATAGTAACTGTTTCAAAATACATGGGTTAGTGCATGTATTACAATAGCAGATAATACAATGCCATTATAAAGTTAAGCATTTGTTACTTAACACTATCAGGAATCACTTCCAGTCTGTTGTGGTCTTCTGAGCTTTTCTTTAAGGTACTTTAGCCATAGCTATTTGAAGGACAAACCACTAATAATGCAAGAGATCAGGCAATCTCTCTATTGTGTGAAGGATGTATAGCAACACGAGAGTAGATTTTTGCACAATGTCAGGTAGAATAATCATTTTAAGGACTGTATGGGGACTTCTACACATTATTTATTTACTATAAAAAGTATAAATTATTAAGCAATGATCCAAGAAGTAATATTTGTCACACATAGCCTGCTGTGTGGCAAATACAAAATGTCGGTGCATCACTGTATAAAATTCTTTGAGAAATAAAATGATTTACAGCATAGGAGGAGTTCATTTGGCCCACTGTATGTGTGTCATCTGATGAGGAGTTATGCAGCCTAACTCCACCTTTCAACTCTTGGTCCGCAGCTTGCAGGTTACAGAACATCAAATGCATATCCAAGTTTTTTTAATGGCAATGATGCTTTCTGCCTTACCACTTTAAAGAGAAACCTAGACAATCTTTTATTAGACTGATCAAATCATATGTTACAAATACTATATAAAATAAAACAGGAGGTACTGAAACTGTTGAAAAGCTGTAATGCAATCTCAGGATTCAGGTAGCTATCACTTCTCTGACATCTACCTTTATCAGAGCCTCGGACTGTGTTGTAGCCTTGGAGCTACACCCTAATAAGACATCAGCTACAATTAAACAATATTTGTGCAAATATATATTTATCAAACAGGAGAGAGGAAAACAGCACAGAAGACTTTAACAGAAAACATTTTGTGGTGGCTATCTAACAGCGGATATAGCGTTTTCCAATGTTGCCCTGGCAAATAGATGGAACAAATCTACTCAGGGCACATACAATGTCCTAATATGTCCGTAGCCTGCAAGAAGTGCTCAGTTGGAAAAATTACTACAGGTACTAGTTGACAAACTGAAAAATGACTGTTGAAGTATATTTAAAGAAACTAAAATGTCAACCAAAAATTTAGCTAGATAAACGACTGCCTAATTAGGTTGATAGTCCTCTGTCAACTGACATAGACATTGAGTCTTGCAAAAGAAAATGGTTAGTGCCTGCTTTACAACAGCAGTTAATACAGCATCATGTAAAATTAAGCATTTATTGGTTTATAATGCCACAAATCACCTTCAGGTTATTGTGGATTTAATGAGTTTCTAAAAGATGCCTGACATTCAAAGAGTTAAAGGTCAATTAAAATAGATTCTTGTTTGAATTTAGACAATAAGAGGTGATATCATTGTGGTATTAATTTTTATTCAATACATATCTTTCACTAAACACAATTTTCAAATAGAAAAGCTCGAATCAAAACATGTTTAAATATTTCAGTACAACACATTGAAACAAAGTTCTTCCATTTCTAACATGGAGCCGAATGTTATCTTTCCTCATTGCAATCATTTTTAAAAATTAATACATATAAAAAAATGATTTTATTTATTTCCCTTCAAGTTAATGCAGAGATAAGAATGGTGGATGGCTCAGTGGTTAGTCACTGCTGCCTCAGTGACAGGGACCTAGGTTCAATTCCACCCTTACTGACTGTCCGTGTGGAGTTTGCACATTTGTTCTGTCTCTGCATAGGTTTCCTCTGGGTAGTCTGGCTTCCCCCCATAGTTCAAAGATGTGCAAGTTAGGTAGCCATGGGAAATGTAGGGTTGATGGGATGGGCCTGAGTGGGATGTCCTTTGGAAGTTGGTGTGGACTTGATGGGCTGAATGGCCTGCTTCCACAATGTAGGAATTCTACATTGTGGAATCAATCATGAAACTCAGTTAATTGTCAGTGGATCTGGATAGAGTGAAATTCTCAAATCTTTACTTGCACTGTGTACATGGTGAGGAGCTAAATATTCTACTCCAACCCTCCTCCCCCTCCAGTATGACACACTGCTTCCCTCTTGCCCCACTGACAGGTCTACCCGTCAATCACCATCCCTGGGGTCATGGCAATTTTCAAGCATAAAAACAGAGCTGTAAAGGGGAAAAGGCTTTGGGAAGTGCTGCTGTAGAAATGTTTTTCTTATTGTATGCTATGAGAAATTCCAGAAGAACCTGATGCAGAATCACTCTGCATTTAAGCTAGTTAGCACTGCTGCCTCAGTGCCAGGGACCCGGGTTCAATTCCACCCTCGGGCGACTGTGTGGAGTTTGCACGTTCTCCCCATGTCTGCGTGGGTTTCTTCCGGGTGCTCCGGTTTCCTCCCACAGTCCAAAGATATGCAGGCTAGGTGGATTGGCCATGCTAAATTACCCATAGTGTTCAGGGATGTGCAGATTAGGTGGGTTATGGGGAATGGGTCTGGGTGGGATGCTCTGAGGGTTAGTGTGGACTTGTTGGGCCAAAGGGCCTGTTTCCACACTGTTGGGATTCTATGATCTATGATCTTGAACTTGTAGCTCACCACAGTAAGCTGCAACATAGTCCCAGTTTTATTTGCACATACTATTGAAAGTTAAGAATATCAGTTCAGCAATGATCTGCAGTTCAGTTTATAACCTAGATAAAATTCCTTAAGAGGACAAAGGAAAGCTGTGAAGATCATAACCTCAACTTTAAACACCACTCCCTGATAAACAAGATCCAGCCCCTGGTTTCTAAGTGGCAAAGTCTCCACTCCTCCCAACTATGTAACAGCTGTTGAGCTGATAATTGGCTTGAGGTGTTCCTTTAGTCCCAATCAGTCTTCTGTAACTGCCAGACAATCCAATGGATAGCAGCTTGTAAATCCCTTCAAAATCGCTTCGCTTCAAAAATCTCCCCTCCCCCTACCGCATCCCAAAACCAGCCCAGCTCATCCCCGCCTCCCTAACCTGTCCTTCCTCCCACCTATCCCCTCCTCCCACCCTAAGCCCCACCCCCATCTCCTACCTACTAACCTCATCCCGCCTCCTTGACCTGTCCGTCCTCCCTGGACTGACCTATCTCCTCCCTACCTCCCCACCTACACTCACCTCTACTGGCTCCATCCCCGCCTCTTTGACCTGTCTGTCTCCTCTCCACCTATCTTCCCCTCTATCCATCTTCTATCTGCCTCCCCCTCTCTCCCTATTTATTTCAGAACCCCCTTCCTCTCCCCCATTTCTGAAGAAGGGTCCAGGCCCGAAACGTCAGCCTTCCTGCTCCTCTGATGCTGCTTGGCCTGCTGTATTCATCCAGCTCTACACCTTGTTATCTCAGCTTGTAAATCCCATCAGATGGTCACTGCTGGGATTTGCATTCAGTCCTGAAGAAGTTATGCTGTGACGGAGCCCAAAAATAGGGTAAAATCCCTGGTGAGGGAGGACGAGGTGATGTAATTATGCCATGGTGGAAATGGCAAAGTGAGGAAAGGATAAGTAATGTGTAGGGAGTCTCAATGGCCATACATTGCCTTTGTAATTAAGGACCTCAATTGGCTCATGGATGGATGGGCTTCCTAATGCCACCTCACCGCTGGTAAAAATGCATCCCACCATCTGCCATCCTCTTGCTTGACAGCTGTAAAATCCAGTCCTAAATTGTAAAAGGGAATGGGACTCACTCAAGATTGGCAGACCATATGTAAACCTGTAGACCACGGTCCAATTACTTCATTTTATTTTAACCTGAAACTTGAGCATGGGAGGCTTGGAGGTTTCTTTACCAGGCAAACACTGTCCAGAACAGCAGCCAACGAAAACAGCAAAGGCCGAGCACAATAAGACTTTTATTTCAGATTCCTCGTGAGGAGCAAAACTGTGCTCCCGAGCTCCACAGATAAATACTTGGCCCTCCCATGTGCCATACTTCTTTCTACTTCTCCTGACCAGGATTTCATTCCATAGCAGTACAGAAACTATGCTGCCAGGTCTGATTTAGAGGCTGGACACCTGTTTCTCCACAACCTTGTGGTCATTTTAGGTTGAGAAGCCAGCAAGCAGCATAAAAATGAAACCCACCTGTTAAAATTGCCCAGCCTGTCATGCTATCATTGCACGCCACCCATTCCTACATAGCTACTTGAGGGTTAAAATCAAGATCTGTGTCTGCACGTATTGGAAAGCCCTTCTTTATGCTTACAATAACCCAATTATCATAGGCGCAATATGAAAGAACATTTGCATGCTGTTGCATTTGCAGTGACCTTTTAGGTGAGTATGAAATTATCCTTGCGTTGGATACGTGTTTATTATTAGAATGAAGCCCAAACCAAATTCAACAATTGAAAATTAAAATAAGGTCAGGTTCTAAACATCTGAAGAATAGAAATGTAAATGTGTAACAGGTTAATTAACACTTGAAACATTGGCAAACATTTCAGCTTGTGACCCAAGGCACTATAACCTTCCTCAGACTTTGTTGATCCTGACTGTGTCCAACTCCAATTGACTGATAGAACACAGTAACAAACTGATTTAGTGCCACCTAATATATTATGGCAGAAAGGTATATGTGCACAAATATAATCTTCTCAGCAAATTTGTGTTGAAATGGTAGGATGCATATTTGCTAAAGACATAAGTTGTTTTATTTGAGAAGACGCTGGCTTGTGTTAACATACCTTATGCTTGTGGTTTCTTGGCTGCCTTCTCTTTTTGTTCACCTCGTTTTCAAGACAGTATTTCCAGGTAGATGCTATTCTAAAATTAACCACTAGGAGTCGGCTAGGACCATTTTCAGATTGGCTGTTGCATTAATTGTCCTCACTATTTGTGAAGGAATGCTTAGTCTGCCTATATACCTGCCGACAGCAACTCTGTTTAAGTCTGTAGTTCTGCCCTGGAACAATTAGAGGTGCAATCCCATGTCCTACCTTGTAGTAGCATCCTAATTTGCTACCTTTATGTAATTTACGTTTTATTGTTGATAGGTTTGCAACATTAGCATTGTAACATCTGCAGTGCCAATTAAGGAACACTGTTCCTTTAATTTCTTTTTTAACATGAATGAACAGCTTAACTGGGCAAATAATGTTTGCTTCAGAATGTACTTTCATTGAGGTAGGTTGCTATTAATTTAAGTCAACTTATCTAACACATGCACATGTACTAATACTCTGATAAGACTTCAATAGGGATACTGCAACTTCCACATTTAACATAAAGCTGCATTTCTAGTTGTTTTGTAATGGTTGGTTTGAGATATAGTGCTATTCAAATCATTTACTATCTTTGAGTACTGTGATTATAATTTAACAGGCTAGAAACAGCATCCTAAATTATCCCTTAGTTCAGTCTATGTAACTTTCTAAACTCCATTTTGCAGCTATCAGTAAATTAACAACGCAAAATTCAAATTACCCCATGGTGACTCTTACCACTGTGTGAATTCATGTGAATTTCAAGAGCCCTGGCATTGGGGAAGCTCTTGTTGCAATGTGGGTAAGGGCATGGTTGCTGAAGAGGACCAGCCTCTTTCTCATCTGATAGTGAGGATGCTTCTCTTTGTCTCCCACTGCAGTAATACATGAGGTGAGCCTGCAGGTTGCGTTCACTGCGGTACCAAATTCCACATGACTTGCATGGAAAGATATCCTCTGCAAAGAAAGAATATATGTACATTATAGTATTGGTGAAATCAGGTAGTTTTTAATTATTAAAACAATTTTGAGGTTATATTAAGTTTTTTTGCTTTCTTCAAGATTGTGAAATAATCAGGCCTCCATTTTTTTCATCCAAATTAACCAATTATTCAAATTCCATCACATTAAGCTTCTTTAAAACATGCATGTGATGAATTCTGGATATGGAACATAAAGTATAACCTTTTGTTCAGTCTTAATTCTACCAGTGTTTTGTTTAAATTGGTAACTATCTAATCTTTGATCATGGTGAGACAGTCTCTGCTTCTGTGAAACAGAAACAAAAACAAAAAAAAAATTGGTCAGGCAGCATCCCAGGAGAAAACAGAGAAATTAATGTCACAGATGTTGCAAGCACAGACCACTTTGCTTTGAAAGAAGGTCCACATTCAAAACTTCAATCCCTCTATTCCCACCAAAGATGCTGACTGATTTGTCGGTATTTTCTGGGGTTTTTTCCAGATTTCCAGCATCCATAGTATTTGCTTTCCAACTCTGTGGAACTGTTCAAATAGATCCTATATTTTAAATAGACATTGTACAAAACATTTAACTTTGAAAGGAGCATAAAAGAAGTAATTATGGATTGTGGGCCCATTATATGTTGCCTGTTCTGTTTTTTTTAATTGATTTTAAGTGGAAGAGAAATCAGGTGGGGTGCAGAACAGGTGGTGATCCATTAACACATACTTATATCTCCATCAAATTTGAAATTTTTACCTATGGTGAAAGCTGTAATTGGAAAATCATAAATTAATAGACAATTCACATTCCTTGACATCAAAAGTAACGGTCAACTTCTTTTTCTGGCCCAGCCTTTTTTATTTTTCATCATGTGATTTAAAGGGGTAATTTCACTGTGGCAAATGTTTACAGTAGTTGTGTGAGATTATGTAATTGCGTCAAAAGGCATTGATGGAATTGCAAGATGCTCTCACGAAAAAATGACACCCTTCTACTTCCCTCAAATAATACAAGGTTTGTCAAGATTTCAGGGTTCTGTTAAGAAGTACTGCACAAATTATATACATTTATCAAATGCAAGTATAAGGGAATATGATCCATGAGATAAATTATAAATATCACAAAATGTGCTTGTTGTAATGCAGGGGAACAGATGACACATAAGTGATTCGCATAGAGTCTGGGTTTAAGCCAGTTAACCAGCATTAACATTCCTCACGTTGTTTCATTAAAGCCAATCTGGGCTGAGGTTCATCAGCTTTCCTGCCAAAAAACAAAGTGCTATGTCTTAAAGCAATAGTCACAACATTTGTTTGGCTAACTGTAAAGTATTCATATGAGTTGGTTTGGGCAGACATGAGAATAAATATTTTCACAAGAACTTTTCATATGTGTTAGTTTATGTAAAAATCTGTAAGAGTACAGAAAATGAAAAATCATTTTATAATCACATCAATTTTTTCACCGCAATTTCACACAAAATGCTTCCTGTCATATGCATAATCTTTAAAAAGCAGATTAAAACTATTTTCTACTTGATTACTTAAGGACAGTTATGTCATGTCAAAAATAAAAGACTCATGACTATATAAGCGTAATTTCTAAACTTACTGTTTACTATTGCAGTAGGTAAAATAGATGCCATAGCTGCTTGCTGAGGGAGCAGCTGTATTGTGTCCAGTAGGCGGGCTGGATACATGCCCTCTGTGATGGCCATTTGGCTGACAGCTTGAAGCCTGGAGTCAAATTCCACTGCAAATGCAATCAGTTCCTCACCCTCTGACAGCATTTTAGTCATTGTACACCAAAGCTGGCCCCCTAAAGAAAAGGAAAAGAAAAGGAAAAGAAGAGTGCTATTGATTAATTACAAACTAAGTAACTTAAGAAGATCCAACAAATTATTCACAAGATTGTCCTTATTTTACCTAATGTCATGAAGTCTAGCAATTTTGTTTTCATGTTTATTGGTTCTGACTCAGATTCAGGCAGCGATTACTGACTGTGAATACAATTGTGTTACAAAATTAAAGGTTGCAGTCCTTCCCCAGCAGGTCTGTTCTCACCTGACAAGACTGGCAGACACGGGGAGAATGTGCAAACTCCACACAGACAGTCAGCCAAGGGTGGAATCAAACCCGGGTCCCTGGCGCTGTGAGATAGCTGTGCTAACCTTAGAGTTATGAGAATTTGGCTCAGTTTAAACTGAGTGAGAAGGTTGAGAGTTTAACCCCATTTCAGACTTCAACACGTAACAAATTGACATTTCAGTATGGTACCAAGAAAGTATTGAATTGTCAAAGGTATTGATATAGGCTGAGCCATTGAAATAAACTAATTTTTTTCAGGCTTTTGTGACACCTTTCTACAGAGAAAAAAAAATTCAAATCCCTAAATGTCCTTTCTTTGCCCACATTCATCTTTGAACAAATATCATCAATTTCACTGTCATTGCAGTTTATTAGACCTTGCATGGGACATGCTAGCCTCTGTGGCAAGGCAACTGACCACACTAAAAAATGTCAGCACAGTGTGGAGCTGGAGGAACACAGCAGGTCAGACAGAGGTGCAGGAAAGTTGGCATTTTGGGTTTACACCCTTCATCAGGACTCCTAGACTCTTATCTCCTAGACATTAAAAAATGTAACTGATTGACTGTGAAGCTCTTTGGGATAATCTAAGGATGTAAATTACACTTACACAGTAAGTTACAGTTCCTAAATCTACCCCATTGGCAATTCATCAATTCTCCCCATCTGTGATTCTGAATTTTCTGGATTCGTTCTAGTGAACATAACCCACTGATGCAGGTCAGATGGCAAAAAGATTGCTGTCAGGGCAAACACTTCAGAAAGCATTTTGAAAAGATTCTGCCTCTCCAGAGAGGGGCAAGGAACATCAGGTCTCAATTGCAATTATATTTTTGACAGAAATAATATTCTCAGTTTATATTAAAAGGATTGGCAAAATTTTCCACTAAACTGGAAATTAAATAAACAGATTATATGCTGTAATTGTGAACAATTTAACACTAGGATAGAAAGAGCCAGTTTGAAAATGTGAATGGCAAAACAACATAAATGTTTTGACTCTGATTTCATGACCATTACAAAGAAAGTCGAAACTTATGTAACCTATTTCATGTAAAATCTTCCAGTCACTGGGAAAAGTGGAAACCTTTATAGTCTGTTATTTTTGGATTGTAACACATATTTCATAAATTAATCTTATTGTATGACAGCAAAAATTTAAAACCTTCTCTAATCCCTGGTTCTCAACATGCCACACCTGAATAATAGTTAAATGTTTTAAAACTAGTTGATGGTGAAATAGTCAAAGTTTGATACTTTCCTTCTTTCCACTGATTCCCACCTGTTTTATCGACATGCTTATTCTAACAAGGAAATCTGAGCACTACCTAATATTGGTAGAATGGAAGCTATGGGTGTTTCATAGTCTCACTACTAGATGGTGTCTATGAAGAAAATACCAGTCTCTGGGTGTGAAGTGTAGAAGATAACCCCTCAACTCTTCATCTTGGATTCACTATGACCTCAGGTCCAGCAATTTGTTTCTCTCTTCATGATGAAATTAAAAAGACAAGTGGACATATTGTAGGGCTGTGAGGAAACAAAACAGGAAAACAGGAGCTAATTTTGTGTGGTCTAGTTCTACAAATAGGCTGGATTTTCTTGATAACAAGATGCAGAGCTGGATGAACACAGCAGGCCAAGCAGCATCATCGCAGCAGAAAGGCTGACGTTTCGGGCCTAGACCCTCGGATTCTCCAGCATCTGCAGTTCCTACTATCTCTGGATTTTCTTGATGTTTGGATTCAGGAAGTTTCATGTTGTGATCCCATTTCTACTCTGGAAGTACTGCTTTGAATGACTCTCTGCATGGGAGAGGTGGGAACTGGGCCTCCCGCACTGGCATGGTGGCATGAATGGCCATGTACGTGGAAATGATTGCGTCAAGCCTGATCAAATGCCTGCTGCCAACTTCTACAAGTAAAATTGAGGTCTCCCTGAAGGAAACATCATCACTGACAGTGCTGAATGAACTTTGAATTGGGAATATTCTCACCGCTGATGCTACTGCTGGCTAACAATTTGATGTGCCTGTCAAAACCAGCCCAGCACAAAATAATATCACAGTCCACTACATGCTTTCTTGACTTCTCACTCTGCTGCCTGAGAAGGGCTAGCTCTGAAGGCCGATAGGCCTGGTCTCTGCACTTTCCTCTAAGTGGCTGCACACTCTGACCTGCATAGGAATACAAAATTGCACAGTAGTCCAGCTCACGGGTTACACCCCACATGCTGCCTCGACTTTTCTGACCTTGGCAGCACCACTATTCCGCAGCTTCAATAGGAGAAGCACTCAGCACTTGCCCTAAACATGAGAATGTCTAGCCCAATATTAAGTAATCATAGAAGCCCTACAGTTTGAAAGCAGCCCATTCAGCCGATCGAGCCCCACCGACCCTCCGAAGATCCTCCCACCCAGACCCAGGCCCTTACCCTATCCCTGTAGCCCTGCATTTCCCATGGCTAATCCACCTAGCCTGCATATCCCTGGACACTATTGACAATTTAGCATGGACAATCCACCTAATCTGCACATCTTTGAACTATGGGAGAAAACCAGAGTACCTGGAGGAAACTCACGCAGACACAGGGAGAAAGTATAAACTCCGCACAGACAGTTGCCTGAGGGTAGAATTTAACCGGAGTCCCTGGCACTGTGAGCCACCATGCCACCCACTCCGTCTCACTCTGTCTACTTCTCACAGAGCTTTGTCCAGCTGGAATTTAGCTGCACATTATTGACATGTGCCAAGCTTATATTTGCATGGCTAGGCCACCATGCAAATGCTCTACTGTGGTAATGAAATGAGACTACAAACCATCAGCACCTCTGCATCATCGAAGGATGTCAACCTAATGAAATAGCACACACATGGAAAGCACATACACTGACCCATGCATGTCATCTAATCCTAGCATGTTGGTGATAGTGAAATCCCCATTAAGATGAGTAAGAGGAACATGTGACCATGGTGTGGTGATGGTTCCTGTAGGGCTGTCATCCAGGGAATTCATCATGATTTGTGGGGAGGAGGGGATACATTGTTTGGCTGACACTGTACTTGTAAGGAAAGCCTATATTAACAGCATGCTGAGTACTGGAATGCTCCATCATGAGAGTTCCAGGCTTGCCTCTTATGAGATTTCCCGACCTTATTGGGGTGTTCCCACCCCTGTGAGCTGAAGAATACCTCAGACAGGAGGGAAAGAAGTCGAAGGAAACATGAGACAAGTGCACCAAGCACCAGTGCAGGTACGTGCACCTTGTTGGGTAGTGTTAGAGCTGGTGATACAAAATCAGGAACACAGCTTTAGTGAAACAAACAAAACAGTAATTGCTGAAGAAACATAGCAGATCTGGCAGTATCTGTGAAGAGAAAACAGCTGAAAAGAGCTGCTTGTTTCTGATCTCCAGCATCCACAGTTCTTCATTGTATTTTAGTGCACAGCTTTAGTGTGCAGGATACATCTAAAGACAATACACCTCAGAGGTCAGTTTCAGTGATGCTCCATGAAGCATTGAGGAAGGATCTCAAGAGTCATGGTTTGGGGATCAGTACTTGGCAGAAGTGTGGGTTAGAGATCCCTGGGAAATTGTGAGCTCGTGCACTGCATAAAGAAGATTTCGTGATTGGATGAACAAGTCTCAGGGATTCCAGCACATGAGCCCTTCCCATGAAAAACTGGCAGTCCTCAGGAGAAGCTACATAATGCAGTATCTGCAACATAATATCCTGCATAGATATAATCTGGACCAGTCTGTTAAGAGCCTAAGCTAGCCAGTTCAAAGTCTGAGTGATTGGAGACAGAAAGGACTGCAGATGCTGGAAGCTAGAGTCAAAAAAATGTGGCATTGGAAAAGCACAGCAAGTTGGCCAACATTCAAGGAGCAGAACCGTCAATATTTTGGGTCAGAACCCTTCTTCAGGACTGTTCTGAAGTGCTAAAGAAGGGTTCCGTTCCAAAAAATTGACTTTCCTGCTCCTCGGAGCAGGTCTGACCTGCTGCGTTTTACCAGCTCCACATTTTTGGACCCCAGAGCTTGTGTGCTGATCTCTGGAGAGTATAAGAGAAGCTACAAACCCTGATTGGGCCAGTGTTGCATGTGGCTATAGGGAATATCAGCTGCCTCCCAAGCAGACCCCATCAGATCAGCAGGAAATCACATCAGAAGTTGAATATTTCAAGGGGTGGGTGGATAAGGGTTCCATGCAGCTTGTGGGAACCTCACAATCCTCAGCTTCCTCAGCCCCTCTGACAGTGAACCTTTGTGATCCAGATCTCTCCAGAGATGAAGGCAGTGCAATGGTAGGGTCCCTGAATAATGAGGCTGAGCACTGCTGTCTTCACTGCCACTTTGCCAAAGAAATGAGCAGCTGCCTTCAGCTCCTCTAAGGCAAAAAAGGAAGCACATTGTAGCAGTCTGAATGTCTGCAGGGCACTGGGTCAACTAGATCACTGAACGGATCACTATGGTATGTTATGTAAGTATTTGGAAAATAAATTGTCTCACTTACTATAAATTGAATCGCCTGGTTTCTGCAATGCTTTGCTGAAAGAGTGAATGAAAATTGTCAGTGTTAGAAATGGTGGTAGGGATTCCTGATGCGTGCCCTGGCCATTGTTATTTTTCCTGTCCCATCCAATACAGTCCCAGATCCAAACCCTTGCCATGTGATTTTATGAATGACTCTTAATGATGTACATTAAAGATGTTCAAGTCCTTTCGCT